ACACACACACCAGATGTAGTAGAACCAAAGGGGGAGAGTCTGACTCTCTCAGGATAGAAAAGGACTGATCTAATTTGTAGCAAAATATTAAAGAGAATTGGATTAATAAGACTTCCATTAGTATTCTCACTGCTTGGGGTGTATTTTACACTCATGACACTACATGCAATCTTGTACATGCCAAGACACACACACACACACACCCCACCCCCCTCCCTCCTCTTAAAACCTGGGTCTTAGTTAATGGAAATTTGGGAGTTTGGTGATGGCAGAATCAGGGCCTCGTTAGTGACTGTTGCTATTTACACTTTGGCAGCTGCTCAAATCAAACTTAAAGGCTGACAAGGTTACTTCACCTCTCACTGGTTTTGTACCTGACCTGTTTTTGTAAAGCACTTGCTCAGAGATGCTGCTGGAGCCTTTCTTGCTGAGATGGCGGCGGTTCGGTGACGCTGTCACTGCTAAGTGTCCTTGACTGTAACTTGTCAAAGAGCTGTGGAGACAATTCCCAAGTGTCTGTGAAATGCCTGGATTCTGAGAGTCCCACTTAAGCCATTGTGGCTGTCTGGCTCTTTGGGGAAGAGGCAGAGAAAATGGATCTATTTACGGTTGCTGTTTGGATTGGGGGAGGGAAGGAGGAAAAGGGCAGGTTTGTGCCTGTTTAGCAGAAGTGTTCTCACGTATATCTTCTCCCCTCCTCAAAGAGTTGCAGCTGGTTGGACAGGAGCTGGTGAGTGTGGCCTGTGTGCAGAGCAGCTCTCCAAGTGCACTTTATGGGCTCTGCATAAGTTTCCAGCTCGGTGTCTGGGCGATACATTGCATATGTCCCAGCCTCGCTCCCTTCGGAGTTTACATCATTTGTTTTTAAGCTTTCCAGTATATTTTCTCTTCCTCTTCCAAAAGCTGTAAGGAATTAGCTGCTAAACTAAAACAGGAGGGCAGTTCTCCTGCTGATAAAGAGCCGATTTTGGCTGAAGCTGCCAAGCCCCAGTCTGCAGCACAGCTTCCAGAGCAGCTCCTGTCTCCAGCTGCCAGAGGAGTGGTGCTCACACCTTTGGCTCCACAGGCGAGGAGCCAGGTGGGAAACCTGGAGGTGAGGCCAAAGTGGCAAAAACTAGGATGGCCAAAAGGAGGTTTTGATACCTTTAGCTGCAAGTGAGCCCTGGTGGTGTTTCTCATCCAGAGCTCCAGCTTTACAGAGCCCTTGGAAAGGCTGCAGGAGGCTGGGACTTCCCTAGAGAGCCTGTTGAGGCTGAACTGGGGGGATGGGGCTGTTTCTGCAGCCACTGAAGCATCTTGGTGACAGACACGACCAGATGAGTCACAGAGGGGGTGTCCCACCATGGTCTCCCTCACCTCAGCTGCCCCTTGGCTCTCGCTGTGCTGGTTTGGACAATCCCCCACTCCCACCCTGCCCAACTCAGAGGGGTTCCCAGTCAATATGTGCATCCCAGTGTTTAAAATCCCTCTGTGCTTCAGAGCTCGTGTTCTCTGAGCTGGGAGATGGATTCCTGCTCACCCAACATCCTGGGGGCTGCAGAGCTGCTCTGAAAGCACACCAGAAATCGGTACTACCCACAGGCAGAGCTGGGGAGGGGTCACCTCTCTCCTTGCCAGGCTGGAAAGACGAGCTGTGCCCCGTCAGCTGGGCAGGAGGATCGTGGTTTAAAGCTGCTTCCCAAAGCAGGGGTCACTGGCCGTTGCTCTCAGTCCTGAACTCAGGGTAATTGAAAGGAGGAGAAAGCACTATTATGATTTACTTCAGTACCAGGAAATCAGCAGCCCCCACGGGAGCCAGGCTGACAGTTTCTATTGATTTTTTTTTTTTTTGCTTTCTTTGTTTCTTTTCTGGTTTTTTCCTCCCTGCTGGCACTGCACACACTGATTCCCCCAGGGCTCCCAGCCTCAGGCTCCCTTTGCAATGCCCTGGAGAGCTTTCCAGAGGCAGATTTCCCGTGAGTCTCTGGACTTCAGCTTCTCCCTCTAGTCCTGTTTTTGCAATTTTCTAGTGGAGAAGCTGGTCAGACTGGGCTGGATCAAAGCACCTCCCTTCCCTTGTGGCCTCCTGGGCTCCAACAGCAGGAGCATCCCAAGCAAGAGGAGTTGGGAGCAGGACATCTCATGGTAGAGATGTGAGCTCTGTAAACACCAGTGTCTCAGAAAAGGGATCCTCCTGCCTTGAAACCCCCTGGTTCTCCTCGGTAATGCTGCTCCAGGAGGGAATTTTCCACATCCACCCAATTCCAGGCTTGGTGGTCCGTGTTCAACCCCATGGTTTCTAAGAGAACCAAACACTTCCTGGGGTGAGGCCATTTCAGTGGGTGCACAAAGAGCTTTTGCTTCCTGCAGACCAGACTTTCTCCTCTTGGTAAATTTTATAGGTAGAGCTCGATATTCTCCTCTTCAGGAACCTCCTCCTTTTAAAGGGCAGATTTAGTGTCCTGCTGAGTTAGACAAGGGAGATGCTGGACTTCCCCTTTGCTGTGGACATTCAAACAAGTGGCAGGTGATTTATTTTTAGCATTATCTCTTTGTCTTGGGGAGGGGAGCCACGTTCTAAAGGCTCAGGGGTGCTGGGAAGTAAAGCTATATATGCATAAAGACTTTCAATGCTGAACACTAAATTCAGTGGTGGATTCAAAAAAAAAGAATGTAAATATGCACTTAATGCAGAATTTTATGGATGGTCATAATTTAATATATTGCAAACTTTGTAAATACTTGGGAAAAGCCTGTAAAGTGTGTAAATAAATGAGATTTGTATGTAAGAAGAATAAAAAAGTTTTTACTTTTTGCAATTAAATACAAGTGTTAATGCACCTTTTCCCTTTTCCTGATTTTTATTTCTGTGTTGCATGTCAGCCATTGAGAGGTTATTTAACCCTTTTTTTAGGGCATTTTTTTCTAAGTAGAAGTGTAATTTTTAAACCAGAAGTCAGAACATTTCCCAACATTGTTTGGGAAATGTCATAAGAAACACTTTGGGAAAAAGAAACTGTGCTGCCATTCAGTGGGACCTTGACAGGCTGGAGAGTTGGGAGGAGAGAAACCTAATGAGGTTCAACAAGAGCTGTCCTGTTATCCCTGGGGAGGGATAACCCCAGGTACCAGCCCAGGTTGGGGGTGACCTGCTGGAGAGCAGCTCTGTGGAGAAGGAGCAGGGTCCTGGTGGGTGACAAGTTGATCATGAGCCAGCAGTGTGACCTGGGGGCCAGGAAGGACAGGGAGATCCTGGGGGGCAGTGGGAAGAGTGTGGCCAGCAGGTCAAGGCAGGTGAGTCCTGCCCTGGTGAGGCACATTTGGGGTGTTGTGTTCAGTTCTGGTCTTCACAGTTCAAGAAGGACAAGGAGCTACTGGAGAGAGCCCAGCAGAGGCCCAAAGGTGATTGAGGAAGTGGAGCATCTCTCTTGTGAGGAGACACTGCAGGAGCTGGGCCTGGTTAGTCTGGAGAAGACTGAGAGGGGATCTCATTAATGCCTGTAAATATCTTTAAGGCAGGTGCCAAGAGGATGGTTCCAGACTCTTTTCAGTGGTGCCCAGGGACAGGACAAGGAGCAATGGCCATAAATTAAAACACAACAAGTTTCATCTCAACATGAGGAAGAAGTTCTTTCCATGGAGGGTGGCAGAGCACTGGAACAGCTGCCCAGGAAGGGTGTTTCTGGTCTCTGGAGACAGGAGTTGTCCTGTGCATTTGTTGGCACCAGCTGCAGTGGTGCCTCTTCATCAAGGGCGATACGTGACAGGGGTGTGTCCCACGTGGGTCCAAAACTCTAATAAATACATTTCCTCCCCAATCTTGAAGTTGTTGGGTGTTCCTTGCTGTAAATCTCTCTGCCAGAGCCCTGGGCTGCCAAGAGCAGAAGCCGACTGCACGATGCTGAGCTCGGGTCTTCCTCCTGTGTTCCTGGTGCTCACAGTGCTGGAGCTGAGCTGGTCCCTGAGTGAGGAAGACAAGAAGATAATCCTGGATGAGCATAATAGATACCGCTCCCAGGTCTCTCCTCCTGCCAGGGCTATGATGAAGTTGGTAAGTGGCTCTTATTGCAGAGGGATCTCGGGGTGTTTGTGTGGTGCAAGCCTTGATCTCAGTGCTGGGAGGGATCAGGGATTAGGGGAGGCTGAGCAATTGTCATGAAGGGTTACAAATAGGTGTCAGTGGGGAGGTTCCCTGAATTGGCTCTAAGGAGATGAGTTTCCTTAACTTGTAGAGTTGTCTTTGATAATTTCTGGAAGTTTTTAAGTGTGATCTGAGTCCCCCAATGCTCTGTCTGAGAGTGATGCAGTTCTCACTCATGGGTGCCTCCTGGAGCTCCTTGTGATGAGGAGGAAGGGCAGGTGAGACCTTGCCATGAGCAGGTGCCATGAGCTGGAGACGTGTCCATGGCCATTTGCAGGAGCTGGAGGGGGAATCCTGCTGATGCTTTGTGTTTGCATCAACTTCAGACATGACCCCCAGGTCTTTCAGTTTTTTGGGCTGTCCATCCCACTCCTAATCCTCACCATGCCTTGTGCAGGGCTGCCTTGGAGGTGAGGGATCCCCTGTTTTGCTCAGGGAAACCGAATCATGTCCCACATCGTTTGTGGCTGCAGTGGGAAAACAAACAAGCTCTAGAACTGGTGCTACCTTTTGTCTTCTACGGACTCTTGACTAAAATTTGGATATCATGTTTTATCTTCCACCACATGATTTGTCCTAACTGTTTGCAAATCATGTGGAGAAAGATAAGTGTTTGTCATGGAGAGTTGGAGTCCTTTCCTCTTTGGGTCACCCTGTGCTTGGAGGAGACCTCCCTGCCTGACTCGGGAGTTGCCCAGGTGAAGTAAAACCTTTGTGAGCTGGTAAACAGGAGCTTAACGACCAAAAGAACCAAAAATCTAAATTCAGGGAGAGGTCTGACTAGTGACTGCAGACTCCAAGGGGCCAGAGCCAGAAGCCTGAGCACTGTGACAGTTTCTCCTCGCTGAGCTGAGGACGGTCTGTGATGATGTTGGATGTGCTCCAGGTGAGGTTGTGAGAGCTGTGCTGATGCACTGACCTTCTCCTGTTTGACCTGTAAGCCAAAGTTTGGTTTGTTCTGGATCTGACCATCCTGACCTCTCCTGATGACTGTGTTGGGTGGGGATTTGAATTTTACTCCTGAATGGGCAAACTGTATGGCCAGAGAGCCCAGAGGTCCTTGGTAAGTGCCGTGTTCATGTTGGAGAGCCCTGTGTCCCTCTCTCTGTGCTGATGCTGAGCTCCTTTCAGACCTGGGACACGGGGCTGGAGGCTGATGCTCAATCCCATGCAGAGAAGTGCATCTGGGAGGACGAGGAGAGTGGTGGACACAAGGAAAACCTCTTTGCTATGGCCCCAACCCTGGACCTCAAACATGCTGTGGCAGAATGGAATGGGGAGAGGAAATTCTACAGCTTGTTATCATTCAAATGTCTCCCTGGGCAGATGTGTGGCAACTACAAACAGGTACAAGCTGCTGAGCTGGAGGGATGGGGCTGGTGGGAAAGGCACTGTACCAGAGCCCCAGCTCCTCCCAAAGTCTTTGCAAAGGGATGGGGAACCAGGTGGGAATCACAATGATACAGGGGGACCTGGGCATGGTGCCAGCAATGACCAGCCTCTGTGAGAAGACCTTTTTTCTGAAACAAGCCCTCTTTTAGCTGCTCAGCAAAGCTGGGTGCCAGCTTGTCTCAGGCAGAGAGACAAAGTCTGGATGTTTCTTCGCAGCTTGGGTGGGAACAAGGAGGAGCAGAGATGGTTGTGGTAATTATGTGAATGGATGTATGAAGCAGCCTTCAAGGCCAGGGGACAGGTTGCCTTCACCCACTCCCCTCACCTTCACCCCTGGTCTTTGCCTTAGATGGTCTGGGCAGACACAGAACACATCGGCTGCGGGGCAAAGCTTTGTGAGAAGATCGAAGGAAAGGAAACAGAGAACATGCACCTGCTGGTTTGCAAGTATTTTCCCTGGTAAGTCCCAGATCCTGCATGGATTGTTGCATCTTGATAGGGTTTTTTTGTGCTGGAAATGTCCTTCCTTCAGTCCTTTCATCAGAGCAGAGTTTGGCCTTGGTCAGAAATAGAAGCAAAGCGGTTCCAAAGAAAGGCCTTCCTTATCTTGGGTTGGTCACAGGGGAAGGAAGGGTTGTCTGGCGATCCTTGCCCGTGATTGCTGAGGTCTGGTTCAGCTTCTGGCACAGACCCAGGGCGGGACCTTCTGCCCTGAGAGCTGCCCGAAGGTGAAGTCGCAGTAGCTGAGGGTACAAACAGCTCCCTGCTCTGGGCCTGGTTCTTCCCTGCTGGCAGCAGTGGTCGCCTGGGGTGGAGAAGCCCTTTTGCACCAGCAGGAAGGGTTGGATGTGGAGGGAGAAGTGGGTACCCCCTTCACAGCCCTGGGACAAGCTTTGGGACCACTTGCTTGGGGCTGCTGAGACCAACTTAGAGCAGCTGGTGGCTGCAGACCTTCTTAGGGCTTGTGAGCAGAAGGGAGGCAGAATCACTTGTCCCAGTGCCCACCCAGTGTTTCATTCTAAGGGATGTGCAGGATCTGGTCCATGGAGCTGTGTCCCCTGGCTTTAGCAGCCTTGGGCTCAGGCTGTTGAGTAAATGGCACTGACAGTCCGTGGCAGGAGACCATGACTTGCTTTTTACATTAATCCTGAGTTTTGCCTTGGCTGGGATATCCCAGCTGAATCAGACCCCTCTTTGCTCGTGCCTTCTTTTTCTTGGCATCTTCTGCTTCCAGGGGTAATGGGAGTATCCGAAAGCCATATGAGAAAGGACCCCCGTGCTCAAACTGTCCCAAGGGCACAGTCTGTGTGAACAACCTGTGTGGTGAGTGAGCGAAGCCGCGCGTGTCCCTGGAGGGGCTGTTGGGACTGAACCCCCTGGGTTGGGGTCCAAGCTCTGAACCCTCCTGGAGGTTTCAGGAAGCCCTGAGCCAGCAGGTCCAAGGCTGGACCATGAGAGCTCAGGAGCAATGGCTGCTCCTAAGACAGGTCAGCTGCCTCAGGATGAGGAGAACTGGACAAGGGCCTTGTATCCCCTTAACCAGCACAACACCAGTGTCCACCACAGCTAGACCAGTACACAAAGCATCAGAGCCCACCATAACCACAGCCAAGACACCACCCACAGCCACACTCCCAACCACAGCCAAGCCCAAACCCCCAACACCAGTACCCATCAAAACAGCCAAGCCAAAACCTGCCACCACACTCCCAACAGCAACCCCAGCCAGGCCAGAAGCCACCATGCTGGCAGCCACAACAGCCATGGCCAAGCCAAAATCCACCACAACTACAGCCAAGCCGGCACCCACCACACCAAAATACACCAAAACTCTGGCTAAGCCAAAACCTGTTGCTACACCACCAACACCTGCCACAACAGCAAAGACACAACTGAAAACTGCCACAACCACAAAGCCAGAACCAGAAAGACCTGATCCTTCTGAGGCAGCTGGGGTAACTCCTTTGAGCCCATGTTAGACCTGGATTATAATCACAGGCAGAGGTAGACACTGAAAAGCCTGTTAGCTCCTTCAGTACAGAGGATCTTCTCTTCTAACCATGTTTTCTCCTCTTCCTTCACCATCTGCCCTGGACACTGAAGAACGGGAGACAGATCAGCCCATGACTGGAGCCGCCAGTACCTGCTTGGGGTTTTCACTCTTCCTCCTCCCCAGTGCCATCCTGGTGGGCCTTCTGCTTTGAATGGTCTTTCTCAGCTCTCCCTGCTCCAGTCACCAAGGCTTTCTTCAGCACTGGTTGTTCCACAACCCTGCTGGGCTCAGGAGACCCCTCAGACAGTTCAGGCTGACACCTCCCTTCTTACGCTGCCTTATCTGCTCCAGCCCTGGCGAGCCTTCCTGAGGAAAGCCAAGGGCAGGAGGGTGTCTGCCATAACACTGGTGAACTTGGACACTTCTCCTTTCTTTCCTGTTGTGACCAGCCTGGGCTTCTGTTCCATGTGCAAGGTGGGAGTGGTGAGCTGTCCCCCAGCCGTGTGGCCGGCAGGCCCCGCCGCACCGTGTCCCCAGGGACAGCAGGATGGCTTGGAAACCCAAGTGGCAACAAGACATGGTAGTTGGCTTTAGTGTTTTTTCAGGATGAGTTTCCAGCAAAAATGCTCTCTTCCCCTCCCCATGTGTCTGTTTGTCTCAGATTTGGACAAGTTTCATCTCTTTCCCTTTTTGTCCAATAAGAGTCCAATATGAGGATTTCTATTTCCCTCCTGGTTCTGGTGTAACTTTGGCCAGTACTACCCAGATATTCTCCCTGCTTGCTCCTCACACCTTGCAGCCCTATTGCCTCCTTCCCTCTCTCCTGTCTGCTGCCCCCATTGTCCCATTCCTCAGTTATTGCCATTATCCATTGCCACAGCTTTATTTTACGCCTGTGCTTTCACCTTTTGTGCACGCACAGAGAGGAAACCTTGACCCCCTGAGAGAAAGCCACCATCTCCTTCACACAGGCTTTCCCTTGCAAGGCTTTCCTTTCTCTTTCTCTTTGTATAACTTGAAAAAAAAAAAAGGGTTTTTTTTGTTTTAATTTTTTTCCAAATTTTTTAAATACAGATCCCACTTGACAAATAATCTGTGTGTGGTGGAACCTGGTCCAGGAGAAACAAGTCACCACACGAGTCGGTACAATCTGAGCTCAAGAGAGCCAAATGATGATGTTACAGGTCAGTGGTGGCTCTGCTGGCCCAGCAGCACCAGCTCTCCTGCAGGGAAGCAGCTGCCCCAGGGGTGTTTTGAGGTCACGGTCGCGGCCGGCCCAGCCAGGCAGTGACCGGCAGATGGCACTGGGAGAGACACCACTGAGCACTGGGCAGCTCGGAATGCACCGCACGGGTCCCTGCCGGCAGCGCCGAGCTTTAGTTAATCGCCAGCTCCGCATGGAGTTAAGAATCAGATTAAAAAAGAACCTCCTGCCCAGGTGCCGCGGCTGCTGCGCGTTCTCGGGGCAGGCTGAGCTCCTGCTGCCCAGCTGCTCTGGGGGCAAAAATCCTTCCTGGGGTTGTGGACACATGAGAAAAGTGCAGCCAGAGCAGCTGCTGTTCCCCTGGGCTGAGGGCTGAGGGGCTGGAGCTGGTGCAAAACCACGTCTGGTTTTGCATCTGGGTGGAGGAGAACGTAGGGTGAATTCCCTACAAAGAATCCAAAGAGCAGAAAAGCATTTCTCCTCCCAGCAAAATCAGGGCACTTGGGCAATAGCTGTTTTTTTGCAGTGCTGGAAGTGTCCCCCCTGCTCCCACCATGGTCTCCCTCACCTCAGCTGCCCTTTGGCACTCGCTGTGCTGGTTCAGACAATCCCCCACTCCCACCCTGCCCAGCTCACAGGGGTTCCCAGTCAACATGTGTGTCCCAGTGTTTTAAAGTCACAGGATCATAGAATGGATGAATGAATAGTGTGGAAGACGATAAACTCCTCCAGAGCTCATAAAAGTGGGTGAGTAGGGAAGAGAAACATCCTGTTACTGCCAAGCCAGTGCATGAGCCTTGTTAGACACCAACCAGCCATGTTCAAGACCCTCAGGATGTGAGTCAGTAGAAAACCAGGCTTGGTTACTACAGAGTTGGGGCCTCTCTGGAGCCACCAGCCATGAGCAGCCCCTGTCAGGTGTCGGTGTGTGGCTCCTGTCCCTGTGCAGAGGGTCCCCGGGGTGTGGTGGACGGGCTGTTCCTGCATTCCACACACACTTACCTAATGCCGGCTGGACAGGAGTGTGTCAGCTCCAGGGTGGGGCTTGGGCCTTGCACTGCTAATCTTGATGCTTCAGACATTGGCTCCAGACAGAGCTGTCAGAGCAGGTTTGGAGTTGAGAGATGTCCCTGCACCCTTTTAGCAGCAGCTGCCCTGCCCTTGCCGATGCATCAGCTGCTACTCACGTTTCCCCACGAGCCACATGCCCTGGTGGTGACTCCTCCAGGGCTGTTTGCTCTTTCCCACAAGCTCTGGGTATCCCATTTTCCTTTATCCTTGTTGCCACACTGTCTCCTGTAAGGCTTAGCCAGGATGTTGTAGGGCCAGGGGCTACGTGGAGCCTGGCCCTGCATCTCCACACCACGTTTGCAGAGACCAGCACCTGCACTGCTCTAGTGGAAGGTGTCCCTGTCCATGGCAGGGGGTTGGAATGAGATGAGCTTTCAGGTCACTTCCAATCCAAACCATTCTGGGATCCTCAACACTGCCTTGTTCCTCATCAGCCAGGCCACAGTGAGCTGGCCAGCAGGAGCTGGGGCTTGTCTTGATCCCTTCTGGATGTTTCTCCAGGTCTATGGAGTTATGACAGCAAGGCTGTTGAGGTGTCTCTATTATGAGATGGATTTGCCTTAGCAAGAAATGGGAACCTCTGGTTTGACCAGCTGAGTTGAAGCCTGGTGAGATGTTGGCCTCAAACCCTGCCTGCAGGAATTGTTGGGGTATTGAGGGTATGGCAGACCCCAGACCTAAGGGAGGAGAAGGTAATACAGAGAGATCAGAGATTTGGGGGGCAGTAGGAGAGCTGTGGTGGTGACAGAGGTGATCAGTGTGGCCCAAAACAAGAGGAAAAATGGCAAAGCACTGTCTGGGGAGCCGGGAGGGGAGAGGGGGAGGCAGAGCCGGCAGCGTGTGATTAACTTGGCTGTGCTGAGCAGAGCTGCCCACCCGCTGATCCTTTCTAACAGCCCATGATCCCAGAGGAGCCCCTGGAGCCGAGCCGGGCGGTTGCACAATCACAGATGGGGAGCCGAGGCTGCAGCAGCCGGGGGGGCTCTGCCAGACAGGCAGAGCTGGGGGCTCTGGGACCCCCGATGTTGGGCCCTCCAGGTGTCTGTGGGAGGGAGCAGAGCCTGTCCCTGCACAGCCAAGGGTCTGGTTATTCCAGCCAGCCCGGATTTTTATTATTCCAGCCCTGAGCCCGGCCCAGGAAAGGGGCATCAACCCTCTGCTTACCCCTCATTCCCAGCCCTGGGGACCTGTTCCTCAGCTGCCCATTGCTGTCCCCCCAACACAGACCTGGGGACAAGGTGGGCTCTGACTCTGCCTGGGGAGTTCCTGTGCTGCAAAGTCTCTCAGCAGTTGCCTCTGTTGCCTTCATTTCTAACGCAGCTGCATTCCAGGGATGGGGGAGGACCCGGGTGAAAACAGGGGTTTGCTGGCTGCTGTGGGATCGTTGTTATACACTGGGAGAAAAGGGACAGGAGGTAGAGGAGAGGACCCATAACTGAGGGCTCAGGGAATGGCTGGGGTTTGGAGCAGCAGAGGCTTGGATGAAGAATGCTGATCCAGGGATTAGGATTCAGGCACAGGGTCTGTCCCAGGGAGTGGACCCCGCGCGTTCGCTGGCACCGGCCACGGTGCTGCCTCTCCATCCAGGCCGATATGTGAGATGGGTGTGTTCTGCATGGCTCCAAAACTCTAATAAATACATTTCCTCCCCAATCTTGAAGCTGTTGGGTGTTCCTTGCTTTTGGGAGGTGCTTTAAATGTGACTGCCAGAGCCGTGGGCTGCCAAGAGCAGAAGCCGACTGCACGATGCTGAGCTCGGGTCTTCCCCCTGTTTTCCTGGTGCTCACAGTGCTGGAGCTGAGCTGGTCCCTGAGTGAGGAAGAAAAGAAGATAATCCTGGATGAGCATAATAGATACCGCTCCCAGGTCTCTCCTCCTGCCAGGGCTATGATGAAGTTGGTAAGTGGCTCTTATTGCAGAGGGATCTCAGGGTGTTTGTGTGGTGCAAGCCTTGATCTCAGTGCTGGGAGGGATCAGGGGGTTCCTTAGGGGAGGCAGAGCAATTGTCATGTAGGGTTACAAGTAGGTGTCAATGGGGGATTCCCTAAATTGGCTCTAAAGAGATGAGTTTCCTTGAACTACAGAATTATCTTTGATAATTTCTGGAAGTTTTTAAGTGTGATCTGAGTCCCCTGATGCTCTGCATGAGTGGTACAGCTTTTGCTCATCTGAACGTGCTGGAACTCCTCGTGATGAGGAGGAAGGGCAGGTGAGACCTTGCCATGAGCAGGTGCCATGAGCTGGAGACGTGTCCATGGCCATTTGCAGGAGCTGGAGGGGGAATCCTGCTGTGTGGGGCATCATCTGGTGCTTTGTATTTGCCTTTGCATTTGAAGAAGCTTTTATCTATAGGAGGGACCGTCAACTTCAAACACGTCAGTCAGGTTTTTCAGGGATTTGGGCTGTTCATCACATTCCTAATCCTCACCATGACTTGGTGTCTTGAAGGTGAAGGATCTCCTGTTTTGCTCCAGAAAGCCAAATCATGTCCCACAGCACCCGTGGCTGCAGTGGAAGGGAAAATGAGCTCTGGAGCTGGTGCTACTTTTTGTCTTCTTTGGGCTCCTGATTTGATTAACTCCTGCACTAGGTGATTCTTCCTCACTCTCTGCAAATCACGTGGAGAAGGACAACTGTTTACCATGGATAGTTGGAGTCCTTTCCTCTTTGGGTCCCCTTGCGCTTGGAGGAGACCTCCCTGTCTGGCCCAAAGGTTGCCCAGGTGGAGTAAAACCTTTGTGGGCTGGTAAATGGTAGAAAAAAGCTAAATTCAGGGGGAGGAGGTCTGACTATGGCTTCAGACTCAACGGGGACAGAGCCAGAATATTAAGGACCATAATCCTGCGGAACCCACCAGGCCAGGCACAGAAAACTTGGAGTGTCAGGGCTTTGGAGCCAAAGTCTTACAGAAAGCCTGAGGAAAAGGATCTCTCAGGGTCTTTAAGTCAGTGCAATTCCAAAGCTGTGACGGCTGCTCCCTGCTGAGGCTTTGATTGCAGACCCTGTGCTTTGAGATGCTCCCCCGGCAGCACTGCTTAAACACCCAGGACCTGCTCGTGGTCTGGAGCCAAACACTTGGGGCTTGGTTTTCTTTGAAGCACAAAAAATGTTTAGTTTACAGCAGCCCTGACAGTTCCTTGGTAGAGGTTTTCCGTGAGAGCCATCCCTGCCTCCCTCCCGGGGTGTTTGCCTGGGCTGGCTTCGCCCCCGGGCTCACCTGCTGCCGTGGCACCGCGCCTGGCTGAGGTCACCCCGCTTCCTTCTGGGACACGGGCTGGTTGCCGTGGAAATGTTCAGGCACTGGGGGGGATATGCAGCCTAAAGCCAATTCCGTTTTTAATGAGGCAAATCTGCAGGTGCAAGTCGCCGGTTTATGGAGCCCAGCTCGGTGCCAGAGGGAGGGGGGGGTGCGCTCCCCACGCTGGGTCTCCAGCCTGGCTGGGGCCATGGTGGGAGGTGATCCAACACCCCCTGTCCCCATCCAGGTGCTTCCTTCCCTCCCAGTGCCCTCAACACCCCGATGGTGACGTGCCCTGCATCAGGGCCATGCTCTGTCCCCCTTTGGATCCAGCCCTGGCTCCGGCTGGGAAGGTCCCCCCTTAGGACCCCCTGTTTGCTGGGCTGCCTTCCAGCTCAAAGCTGCTCCTCCATCAAATGGCTCAGGGATGGTCCAAACAGCTGCGGTGTAGGATTCCTCCTGTGCATCCCTGCAGGGAGACCTCTCCTCCTCCTCCTCCTCCTCCTCCTTCTCCTGCATATCAATGTGGCCAAGGGGGCTCAGCTGGTGGCGGGGCCGCTGCCGCTCCGGAGGGGGCTCCTGGCAGGCGCCCAGCCGGGAATGTCTCGGATCCAGGCAAAAACATGATGTTTCCCAGGAGCGTGTGTGCCTGGGTTTTGTACAGCTGGTAGGGGAGATGTGTCCTGCTCTCCTCTCACCCCACCCTGGGCAGGGAGGGACATCCCCAGGCCCCCTCTGGCGTGACCCGGGGTGGGTTTCCTCCCTTCCTCCACCCGACCTCACGCTTTCTCCTCGCTGAGCTGAGGATGCTCCGTGATGATGTTGGATGTGCTTCAGGAGAGGCTGTGAGGGTCGTGCTGATGCACTGACCTTCTCCTGTTTGACCTGTAAGCCAAGGTTTGGGTTGTGCTGGGTCTGACCATGGAGCTCCCCTCCCCTGAGGGCTGTGTTGGGTAGCACTGGGAGCCTGGTGTCCATTTCTCTGTGCTGATGCCAAGCTGCTTTCAGACCTGGGACAAGGAGCTGGAGAGCCTTGCTCAATCCTACGCAGAGAAGTGCATCTGGGACCACAACAAGGAGAGGGGCCGACGGGGGGAAAACCTCTTTGCCATGGCCCCAATGCTGGAACTAGAATTTGCTGTGGAAGACTGGAACGGGGAGGAGAAATTCTACAACTTGACAACATCCACGTGTGTCCCTGGGCAGATGTGTGGCCACTACACCCAGGTACCAGCTGCTGGGGGGGAGGGATGGCTGCTCAGCAGAGCTGGGTGCCAGTTTGTCTTGGGCAGAGAGATGAGGTTTCTTCACAGCTTGGGTGGGTGCAAGGAGGAGCGGAGATGGTGGTGGATCCTGAATGCCAAAGCAACATGAGGATGTGGGATCTGGGGCACACACTAAGATTGGTGTAGTCACAGAGCAGCCTTCAAAGCCAGGGGACAGGTTGTCTTCACCCACTCTCCTCACCTTCACCCTGGTCTTTGCTTTAGGTGGTCTGGTCAGACACTAAACAGATTGGCTGCGGGGCAAAGTTCTGTGAGAAGATCGAAGGAATCGAAACGGAGAACATGCACCTGCTGGTTTGCAACTATTATCCCGCGTAAGTCCCAGGCCTGGCATGGCTTGGTGCATCTCTGTGGGGTTTCTGTGCTGGAAATGCCCTTCCTCCTGTCCTGATATCAGAGCAGGGTTGGCCTTGGTCAGAAATAGAAGCAAAGTGGTTCCAAAGAAGGCCTTTGTTCTAAGGGATGTGCAGGATCTGGTCCATGGAGCTGTGTCCCCTGGCTTTAGCAGCCTTGGGCTCAGGCTGTTGAGTAAATGGCACTGACAGTCCGTGGCAGGAGACCATGACCTGTTTGTTACATTAATCCTGAGTTTTGCCTTGGCTGGGATATCCCAGCTGAATCAGACCCCTCTTCAGGGTGGGCATTTCCCTTTTCCTCACGCCTGCTTTTTCTTGGCATCTTCTGCTTCCAGGGGCAACGTGAAAGGGAAAAAGCCCTACTGGGAAGGACCCCCGTGTTCGACGTGTCCCGAGGGCACAGTCTGTGTGAACAACCTGTGTGGTGAGTGAGCGAAGCCGCGCGTGTCCCTTGAGGGGCTGTTGGGACTGAACCCCCTGGGTTGGGGTCCAAGCTCTGAACCCTCCTGGAGGTTTCAGGAAGCCCTGAGCCAGCAGGTCCAAGGCTGGACCATGAGAGCTCAGGAGCAGTGGCTGCTCCTAAGACAGGTCAGCTGCCTCAGGATGAGGAGAATTGGACAAGAGCCTTGTATCCCCTTAGGCAGCACTTTTTGCCCCTTGCAGGGCAAGGCATTGTGTGAGGGAGATGAGGTGTCTCCAGGTTGGCAACCTCAGAGTGACCAGAGAGGGGTTGGCTGCTGCTTCTTCATCCCCTCACTGGTTTCTGCTGGTCCTGCTCAGTGCAGGGGATCTGCTGAGTCAGCTGAGCCAGTCTAACCCACGGCACTTTTCATCTCTTACCAGAACTCGTTGTAGAAGAGACCACTCCGGCCTCTGTGACAACAAAGGCAAGGCCATCCACCCCAACCACAGCCCTGCCAAAACCCACAGCCACAGCCAAACCAGAACCCACAGCACCAGCACAGAGCACAGCCAAACCAGTACACACCACAACCAAACCAGAACCTACAGCCAAATCAGAACCCACAGCCAAACCAGTACACACCACAGCCAAACCAGAACCTACAGCCAAATCAGAACCCACAGCCAAACCAGTACACACTACAGCCAAACCAGAACCTACAGCCAAAACAGAACCTACAGCCAAATCAGAACCCACAGCCAAACCAGTACACACTACAGCCAAACCAGAACCCACAGCACCAGCACACACCACAGCCAAACCAGAACCCACAGCACCAGCACACACCACAGCCGAACCAGTACACACCACAGCACCAGTACACACCACAGCCAAACCATCACCCACAGCCAAACCAGAACCTACAGTCAAATCAGAACCCACAGCCAAACCAGTATACACCACAGCCAAATCAGAATCCACAGCCAAACCAGAACCCACAGCCAAATCAGAACCCACAGCCAAACCAGAACCCACAGCCAAACCAGAACCTACAGCCAAACCAGTACACACCACAGCCAAACCAGAACCTACAGCAGCAGAGTCCATCACAGCCACAGCCAAAACAGAACTCACACCAGTGTCCACCACAGCCAAACCAGAACCCACAGCACCAGCACACACCACAGCCAAACCAGAACCCACAGCACCAGTACACACCACAGCCAAACCATCACCCAAAACCGCACTTCCAACCACAACCACAGCCAAGCCACCACCCACACCCACACTCCCAACCACAGCCAAGCCCAAACCCCCAACAGCAGCACCCATTACAACAGCCAAGCCCAAACCTGCCACCACGCTCTCAACAACAACCCCAGCCAAGCCCAAACCCCCCGTGCCAGCAGCCACCACTACAGCCAAGCCAAAGCCCACCTTGCTAACAACCACCACGCCAAAACCCACCACAACAACCACTGTGCCCACAAAAACAATGCCAAAACACACCACAACCAACACTACCAGCAGGTCAACACCAACCACACCAAAACCCACCATAACAACCACTACAGCCAAGCCATCACCCACTACAACCACCATGATGGCCAAAACAACACCCACCACACCAAAACCCACCACAACCACCACTATGCCCACAAAAACAATGTCAAAACCCACTACAACCAACACTACCAGCAGGTCAACACCAACCACACCAAACCCCACCACAACCACCACTACAGCCAAGCCAGAACCCACCATAACCACCACTACCACCAAGCCAGAACCCACTACAACCACCACGATGGCCAAACCAACACCCACCACACCAAACCCCATCACAACCACCACTACAGCCAAGCCAAAACCAACCACAGCTATGACCAAACCAACACCCACCACATCAAAACCCACTCCAGCTTTGGCTACGTCAAAACCTGGTACAACCACAGTCAGGCCAACACCCACCACACAAACCAAACCAACACCTGCTGCTACACCAAAATCCACCACCACTACAGCCAAGCCAACACCTGCTGCTACAACACCAACACCTGCCACAACAGCAAAGACACAACCAAAAGCTGCCACAACCACAAAGCCAGAACCAGAAAGACCTGATCCTTCTGAGGCAACCGGGCTCGCTCTTTCCTCTGAGCCCACGTTAGACCCGGATTATAAAGTATCTCCAGAGGCAGACACTGGAGAGCTTGTTAGCTGCTTCACTACAGAGAATCGAGCCTTATTAGAAAGCAGGGGCACAGCCTTCAGCCCCAGATCAGTCCCAGAAACAAAGAAAGGTGTCAAAGAGGATGGGAAAGAGAAATCAGCCTTTTCCAGTCCACCTCCATCCCTCAGCCAAGTTGTTCCAGGGATCAAGTTAGGTTTCAATAGAGCTGAGCTCATAACCCCCTCAAAGTCAGTGGTCCTCAGCCCTGAAGAGCCCACCTTCTTGCGCTTAACATCATCCTCCAAAGAAAGAAAAGGGCAGAGCCCCCATTTCCAGACCTCCCTGTCAGGTAAGGTATCCGTGGAGCCTGTGCTGGCACGGACACTCGGACATGCAGTGATCCCCAAGCAGCATGGAGAGGGCTTGGGAGGAACAGTGTCAGACTGGTCCTTTGGATCCCCCTCTCATACGTGGCCTTTTCCTCACTCTTTCCTCTAACACTGAGGGGCTGGTTGGATGTCTGGCCCCTGAAGCATGGTCTTGTTTGCAGCCTGCTCCCACTAACCCACGGGCTGTCACGCCTCCCCTGGACCGGAGCTCTGCTGCCCCGCGGTGCCTCGGGGTGCCTCACTGACAGACCTGCATGAGCGGGAGTTCCTCTTCTGTCCAGGTCTTCCCCTCTAACTCCATGTTTCCTTCTCTTCTTTCAGCAGGTGCCCTGGACACTGAAGGAATGGAGACAAACTCGGAACAGACAAACGTGGATCAGCCCATATCTGGAACCACCAGTCCCTGCTCAGGGCTTTCGCTCTTCCTCCTCCCCAGTGCCATCCTGGTGGGCCTTCTGCTTTGAATGGTCTTTCTCAGCTCTCCCTGTTCCAGTCACCAAGGCTTTCTTCAGCACTGGTTGTTCCACAACCCTGCTGGGCTCAGGAGACCCCTCAGACAGTTCAGGCTGACACCTCCCTTCTTACGCTGCCTTATCTGCTCCAGCCCCGGGCAGTGGCAGCCCCGTGGGAACTTGGTCCCCTTCCTGAGGAGACCCAAGGTTAGGAGGGTGTCTGCCATAATGCTGGTGACCTTGGACACTTCTCCTTTCTTCCTGGCCAGCCCGGGCTTCTGTTCCATTTGCAAGGTGGGAGTGGTGAGCTGTCCCCCAGCCGTGTGGCCGGCAGGCCCCGCCGCACCGTGTCCCCAGGGACAGCAGGACCCAGGCGGCAAAAAGAGACGTGGTGGTTGGCTTTGGTGTTTGTAGATGAAACATGGTGGTTGGCTTTGGTGTTTTCTGCTGTTCGTCAGGATGAGCCTCCAGCAAAAATGCTCTTTTCCCTTCCCAGTGTGTCTGTTTGTCTCAGATTTGGGCAAGTTTCATCTCTTTCCCCTCTTGTCCAAAGAGAGGATTTTTTATTTTCCCGTTTCCCTCCTGGTTCTGGTGTAGCTTTGTAGAAGTAGCTCTCCCTACTTCTCCTCACATCCCTGCAGCCCTTGCCTCCTCCCTCTCTCCTGTCTCTGCCCCATGTCCCATTCCTCAGTTATTGCCATTATCCATTGCCACAGCTTTATTTTACGCCTGTGCCTTCACCTTTGTGCATGCACAGAAGAGAAACCTTGAGCCCTGAGAGGAGCCACCATCTCCTTCATACAGCTTTCCCTTGCATGGCTTCTTTCTTTGCATAATTTCCCTGTATTTGAATTTAGGTACAGATTCCTCTTGACATATAATCTGTGTGTGGTGGAACCTGGTCCAGGAGAAACAAGTCACCACACGAGTCGGTACAATCTGAGCTCAAGAGAGCCAAGTGATGATGTTACAGGTCAGTGGTGGCTCCAGGACTTGTTGCAGAACCACTGTCATTATCTGAGACACTGTGTTTTGTTACCCCACATCTCCCTTCACCTGAGGATTCCCAGTCAGGTGTGTTAAATATGTGACAAGCTTTCCAGACTGGTGGGAGAAAGATAACTGGAAGATACAGTCCCTTCTCTGGTGATTGCATCCTTTGATTTCTTACACAGGTGAGGTGGAGGATGACCTGCATTGTTCATATCCTCCCACCTGCTGCTCTGTCCTGTGCACTGAATAAATCCTTTTGTTAAAGTCTGTGTGGGGTGTGCAGTGTCTTGCTGCGGGATCTGAAGGCCTGGGAGCCACTTGTTTTACCTGTAAAATGCTCCTGACTGTGTGCTCAGGGAGAATTCCTAAAAACCAACGTGACTTCTGGGGGTGCCGAAGGATTTTTTTTTGGCTTTCCAAAAGCGTCCAGGTGCTGCTTTTGTAAGGGTGTAACTTAGTATTTTTAAACCCATCTAAAAGCAGTGAGAGTGACATGGGGATTGAGGATGACGTAGGGAATTTTCCCCAGGCACCCAGCTGAGTGCAAAGCAAAAATGTGTCCCCACCAGGAATTTTTGGGCAAGGAAAGCAAGAGAAAGAGAGCTCAGAGCAAGAAAAAAACCCAAACAATCAAAACTTCAGCTGGATCACTTCTGGCTCCCTGTTTTAGGAAGCTCAGCACCAGCCTCTCACACCCTAAACACACACAATTTCATCTTTGCAGCACAGAAAGAAGTTAATTACAGATGTGTGTCCCCAGCCCCGGTGTTTCTGCAGCATTTCCACTTCAGGACATCCATCTGGGAGCAGCACGTGGGGAAAGGGCTTTGTGGGGCAGGAACTCGCAGCGCAGGAGCAGCGCTGGTCCCCGACCTCGGCTTTTTGCTTTCCCCCCATCGTCCTGCCCCTGCTTTCCCCAGCAAAGCTGCCCTGCAGCTCCACATTTCCCCTCTCCCAGATCCCTGCTGCAGGAGCCCAGCAGCACCAGCTCTCCTGCAGGGAAGCAGCTGCCCCAGGGGTGTTTTGAGGTCACGGTCGCGGCCGGCCCAGCCAGGCAGTGACCGGCAGATGGCACCGGGAGAGACACCACTGAGCACTGGGCAGCTCGGAATGCACCGCACGGATCCCTGCCGGCAGCGCCGAGCTTTAGTTAATCGCCAGCTCCGCATGGAGTTAAGAATCAGATTAAAAAAGAACCTCCTGCCCAGGTGCCGCGGCTGCTGCGCGTTCTCGGGGCAGGCTGAGCTCCTGCTGCCCAGCTGCTCTGGGGGCAAAAATCCTTCCTGGGGTTATGGACACATGAGAAAAGTGCAGCCAGAGCAGCTGCTGTTCCCCTGGGCTGAGGGGTTGGAGCTGGGAGTGCATTTCAGAACCACTGGTTCTGGTTTTGGGTGGAGGAGAACGTAGGGTGAATTCCCTGCAAAGAATCCAAAGAGCAGAAAAGCATTTCTCCTCCCAGCAAAATCAGGGCACTTGGGCAATAGCTGATTTTTTGCAGTGCTGGAACCGTCCCCACTCCCCCTCCCTTCCCTGCTGAGGTGCTGCTAATTGACAGCCTCCAAAATAATTTTAGGATTTGAGTATTTTATCATTATTTTGGGGCTAGAGAACCTTGTGAAAACTGTTGAGTTTTGTTTTCCTTAAAGTTTTGACTTCTGGAGACACGCTGTTGTGCAAGGACCTATTTATAGAGTTCCTTGTAGCAGAAAACTCCAAACCAGGAGGAAATCCGCTTTCCTCTTCCCCCTGCACCCCAGGACAGCGGGGCTGAGCCCTTCTCACACAGGCATTAGGGGGGGTTTGGTTTAATCCTAAATTAGGGGGCGTAGGCAGGGGCAGGGTTTGGTGTGGAGCACAGGGGAAGACACAAAACATTCAAGGGAGGCTTTAACAGCATTTCCACTCCATTTCTGGTGTTGGCACCCCTGGTATTGGGGTGACCCTGGCAAAGATGCTGCCAGGCCCTTACAGCCCCACAGCCATGTGTGGTGGGAGGAGGAGAAGGCACCAACCATCAGTTGGGGTGAGTTGGGTTAAAATCATGTGATTTTTTGGTGTTTATATGGTCTGGCTGCTGTGTGAGCCCCACCTGCTTGGTTCTTTCCACCCCTGGGGCCTGTTCCCAGCAGGGACAGGGATGTCTCTGCTGCTGGTTGAGTGACAGGGGGTTTCTTGGCTTCAGCTCCTGAAGCCTCCCCTGAACATGGTGGGTTGGAAGGGTTGAGGTGAACACATACACTGTCCTGGGGGATTTGCATCTGGGGTCATGATGCTGCCAAATATTCCCTTGGAATATTTGTACTGAAAGTGCTTTCCTCCCACAGTGTCCTGGAGGGAACTCACCTTTCTTCATGTTGCTTCCTGGCTGCTTTCTCCTAAAAGAAAGTGTCTGTCGCTCTGTGCCAATGGTCAGGGATGGTGTTGCTGCCCCACCAAGATGTGCTGTGGGATCCTGGCCAGTGAGTCAAGTGGGAGTCCCAGATATCCACTGAATATAAGCTTGGCCAGCCTGTTCACTGCCCTCCCGGGCAGAGGCTGCCCTTCCCCTTGTGCCAGGAAGCACTGGAGAAATTAAATGTTGCCTGGGCTGCTTTCTGAGCCCTAGCTGGGGTCAGTGGACCCTGGAAGTCCCTGTGTTCTCCTGGTGCTGTATCCATTATAAACATGCTTATAGGAAGGACTATCCAGGGCAGAGAGAAGCCCAACCTGCAGCCCTTGAGCTGATTGAGGGTGAAGGAGCAGGTTGAGGCTTCATGTAGAATTTGTGTTGCCTCAGGAAAGCCCCTCCTGCCAGTTAAAACACATGGTCTCAGCTGCTTGGCCAACCCAGTCTGCCCCACATCCTCATTGTGTCCCTTTCAGGCTCAGGGTTTTGGCCAGACAGGAACAGCAGCCACCCCTCTGGAGGTCCCAATTCACCAGCCAAGCTGACTTCAAGGCAATAAAGACACTGTTTTAAACAAATCAAACCAAGTTTATTTTCACAAGAGAGCATCTCCAGTAATATTTTATTCATGGCTTCCAGCTCACAGTTTCACTGCTTGAGATTCTCTGCATTAACATCGATGCCATGGAGGGGGACTGAGCTGATTCCACCTGGGACACACAGGATTAGTTCTTTTTGAGGGATTTAGTTCTTAAATATGAAGTGGATATGCCACTCTGTTCCCATGCTTGTGGTGCTATATTGGCACCTTCCAAGCAATTTGTGGGCAGGAGCTCTGCCCCTTAGCAAGCAGCTAGAGGACAGTAATGCAGCTAAGAGGACCAAGCTGTAGTTTTGAACAGCAAGTCTCCAGGAGTGCAGAAAAGCCAGATTTATGGAGAGAGGGCTGCATTCCTTCCCTGCTACACACTGCAGCATCCCCACCCACCAGCTGTGTCCCAGCCTCGCTGCAGCTACACCCCATCCCAGCAGAGGAGCCTTAAACGAGCTGCTTCATTCTGGGGAGTCCCACAGCCCCAAGCAGTCAGGTCTGGCTGTCCCTGTGTGTTTGCTCAGGGTGAAATTTGAGGGCTCCCATTTCTCTTTGCAGCTCCCTCCCTCCCACTTCATCTGAGAAGGTGTCCTCTGCTCGCCCTCGCTCCCGGGTGTCTCGGGTCTCACGTGTCTCCCTGGCAGTGAGATGGTCCTGATAATGGCCTGAAATATCCTTTGGTCTTGTAGAACTGGTGCAGCCCTGATCGTGTTACAGCTCCACTCATGATCTTGATCCTGCTTACTTTGGAAAACGGCAGAGGGATAGTCCCATCTGCTCCTAAGAAAGAGAGGAATTAACAATTCCCTGTTCCTTGCCAAGGGCCAGAGCTCTGAAGCGTGACCTCTTCTCACATGTCTGTTGTCAGACGTGCTACCTGCCTGGGAGAACCCAGAAAGATTAGGACTTGCTCCCTTTGGCTCATGTCTCTTCCTTATTTGTCTCACCTTAGGACAAGTTTTTAGTCTGAATCGTTGGCTTATCCTGTGTAAATACCCAGAAGCCCAAACCTCCTTGCCAGGGTTTGCATGTCAGTGAGTTATGTTGATAGGAATTATCAGATCACAAAGAACCACCCTGTAACTCCATACCATGGGACAGCTGGGAACTTGTCCAAAACAAAATGCACTTCCTGAGCAGGGGCCAAGCAGCCAGATCTGCTCAGCTCCCGGGGCTCTGAGTCCACAGGCTACGCTTGCCCTTGGGTTTAGTTCTTAACCCAAACTTCAGAATTGGGTGAAACCAACTTAAATCGTGAGCTCAAATCTGTCCCATTTGCTCCCCTCCAGCCCTGACAGACCAGAAAAGAACAACAGATTTGAACACTTCACAACTGGAGCTCATCTCCTGCAAAAAGGGAGTAGAACTGAACACCAGGAGCTGATGCACAGACCCATTTCACAGTTTCTCCTGCACCCATTAAACAGAGGTGGGTTTGTAAGCAGGTGCCCCCATGCTCATGTGCCTGAGGCACGGAGCAGTTCCTGGAAGAATGCAATCCTGGCTGCTGTAAGAGAAGACCCACTGAGCTGTTCAACAGTGCCACGCTGTGTTTTAGGATCCTCAGCAGAAAGAAGCGATGCCTCGGGAGCTCCTCCAGCGCTTTTGCTGCTCTTTAAGGAAGGCAATAGACTGTATAGTTATCACCTGAAATGGGATCAAATCCCTCCCACCAAACTATACAACCTACTACCTCACCTCCACAGAGCAGAACGGAGGTCTCGTCCGACTCAGGGACGCTGCAGATTCACAGATTTGCTTTCCTTGCACCACCTGCCTCCACGCTGGGTGTAGAAGTAGATGATGAGAACTTGGTGTAGAAGTAGATGATGAGACCTGAAGACCTGACTGTCTCCTTAGGAAAGACAGTAGATTGTATAGTTAGCTCAAAGGGAGGACCAGACTCCACAACTATTCAATCTACTACCTCAGCCTCAAGGACAGCTTGGGACCGTGGCAGCCTGAGGCACTGAGATGATCCTTATCCAGGCATCTGCTCCTCTGCAGCTCCTGTGAGGAGAAACACAAGAAAAATCATCAGAATTCATCACACCAGGGGAAAGGAGAGTCATATCCAACCTTGTCCTGGAGTGCTCCTTCCTTCTTTAAACCTCCTTCAGTCCACTTGGACTAGCCCTTACCTTGCAGTCTCACTGGCTGCAAACTTTATGCACCCAAGGGCGTACGGGAGCAGCAGCCCTGCCCTTGGAGCCCGGGGCCACACATGGAGATAGCAGAGCTCTCGAGAAACTGCAGCAACGCCAAGCACAGCCAGCCATGCTGACCTCACC